AAGAAACAAACAATAAACAATATAAAAACTATTACGTCATGGTATTGTTACTGACACTCCAAAAATTTTATTATACACTCCAAATTTTTAATAATTAGAAAGAAAAACATATTTGTCAGGAGTGTAGAATAAAATTTTGGAGTGCTAATAATAGTTTTCTTAATTTATTTGCATACACAAAATTGACATACTTATTGACACACTAGCAATACATGTGAGTCTTCCACCTGTATTGGAAGATGTGTTAGGAAGTTTGTCAATTTTGTGTATCCAAAGGTGTTAGCCCTCATCTATTTACAACTAGTGTTACTGTTATGAAATACGGAATAGAAGAAAATGAAAGTAGAAAATAATTAAGTTAATGATTAGTAATGTCAAGGAGATAAGTTTTTTGTACTGCATGAGGGGACAAATGATGCACAACATCTAATAAGATAAATATATGGATTAACATGATTTGTTTACATAACTTATCACAATGGAATATCTATGTGGTACCAAAACACGATCTCTATATCATTTCCTTTAACTTAGGAAATGTTAGGGAGGTTGCATTTTTGTATCACATTGGTGTACCATGTAATGAGCCAAGTGATGTATATATATCACATTAATTAATGAATTTATCTGATCGAATATTAGTTGTAGTAATTACTTGCCACATCATTTAGTACACTAATATGATATAATTATGCGGTATTCCTAACATTACTATTTAACTTAACGTATGAAATGAAAAAAGGGTGTAAATTTTGGTAAGTTAATAATGTATGAGGGGGGCGGTGTCTTGTTTTCTCGTGAGGGTATGATGTGAAGGGGATTTGGTAAATGTCCATTGAACGGGAGACCTTAATCCTCAATATCGCCTCATTCAGATGAAGAAAATCTGCAAAACTGTCAATTTATTCCCATTTAGTACAATCAAATTTTTCTTCTTTCTCAATTTTAAATAATATTTTTCGTCTTTTTCAATCCAGTTTTATCCATTTGTCTTCAGTTACACATGCTCATGTACAGTACTTGGTCAGAGTCAAAGAGGAATTACAGAATTCTTTCTTTCATTCCTTTATATTCCAAACCTTGTTCATATCTGATCTTTTTTAAAACCATGTGACCCTTTTGCCCAAATATTATTCATAAAAATACCTTATTTATAATTATATAGCTACATTGCACTAGTTCCTTTCATGCTCCATTTAATTATTAGTTTAACTTATAGAAGCTAGAATTTTTTTTTAAAAGCTGCGGTCAAACTCAAAGGATGGGTCATCGACTGAGTGCCCTGAAACGCGTTCATCAAGTGACAAAATTTGCATCAAATTCAGTGCAAGTGAGAAACTTGATAGGTTCCTAATTTAGTTGTTCAAAACGTGCATACATACCATATTACTTATTTATCCACCCCCATTGCCATATTGGCATTGTTTTAGGGTAATGGGGTGCCGTGCTGCATGCAATCGACGACCGTGATCCAGGACTCCGATGCATATAATGATCCCGGATCCTAGGCAGAACTATAAACTATTAAGTGTTGATCTGTAAAAGAAACCATAAAAACCACCCGAAACTGATGAAAATATATGGTGTGTCCTACCGATTGCAACCAAAGCCAAGGCTAGATACATATATCTCCGGTGATCCACTTGACCTGATGGTAATAATGTACCACATCACCTAAATCCTACTAGTGCATGTCATTCACAGTTTAACGTCGGTTTTTTATTTTGTTACAAGTTCCATGGAGAATGGAACTTCTCCTTAAAGAGTATGAACTCTATATATATACACGGCTTATATCTTCTATGTCACATTGTGATCAACAGTCTAACTATGTCGGTTTCTAATTTTGTTTAATATCTCAATTTCTATTAATAACCTATTAGACCATTGACTCTTTCGATCATCTAACTATCAAGTTAACTGCTACTTTTTTTATATATAACACTCGTTGGGTTTATTCTTTGATCATATTATTCTATTTAAAAATTAAAAGTCCTTGTATAATTGAATGAATAAATAAAGGTTCTATTACTAACTCGACTCATTTTACGAGACTATCTATATTGTTAGATTATAAATTTAAATTACATATTCAAATAAAAGGTGAAATTGATTAATAATTTAATAAATTACCAATTCATAATCTAACAACACAAGAATATGAGAAGCAAATATTTATCTAGTACGTATTCAATAAGAATGGAAAAAGCTCCCCCAATGGACCGGTTCCTGGCCTTGTGGGGTGAGGAGGTAATAAAGTTTCAAAAAACTAAAACATATAAAACAAAAAGAAATGAAGGAATATCATATTTAGTTATACATGAAGGATTTGGATTTTCTCCTGAGCTAATGGACAGGATCCTTCTCATCAATTATCGTGGACAGTTGGATAAAAGTTTCAAAAAACTAAAACATATAAAACAAAAAGAAATGAAGGAATATCATATTTAGTTATATATGAAGGATTTGGATCCTCTCCTGAGTTAATGGAGAGGATCCTCCTCATCAATTATCGTGGGCCGTTGGATTTTTATCTAACAGCTACAATTATTATAACTTTAAAATGACCCTCTTATTTGTAACTGTTAGATAAAAATTCAACGACCCATGATGATTGATGAGGAGAATCTCTTCGTTAGCTCAAAAGAGGATCCAAATCCATATATGAATACGGCCGATAAGAAAGCAGAATCCTTAAAGTCCGTGGCATTTACACGTGCTTGTTCAACACATAATACACGATTTAAGGCCTCGATTAGCTTAATTTAATACCAAATGCAATACGTGGAGCCGGGATTCGGATGGCTTTGTTTCAATACCATTCAGACCCAAAGGGATTCCCACGCAATCTTCCATATGCACATATTTCCTGGTCAAACACGCTGAATGGATGGTGATATTTTTCAGTATTTTTAAAACACAGTCATATATGCTATATGTTATTATATAAGTGAAATAATACTTAAAAAAAATGCCTCCACTTATATAATGATATATGCCGTACAATGTCGTGTTTGAGCACATTGAAAAATCTCTCAAATGAGTGCTCCTCTATTATATAAATACGCATATTACTTTATGCAGTAGAGGAGTACTACTGGTTTTGTGCATACCGATCTTGTATGTATATGTGTGTATATATATATTGTATAATTATATATTGTTTACATGCAACAACACAGCTGGTGCCGTTGCCTTTACGAACACTGCTACAAACTTCCCTCGCAGCATTAAATTCATCAAATATAGAATGGAATCCTATGGAGCATGGGAGCTTCTATTCTCCTCGCATCATGAACCCTAAACGCTCATTTCCATGATGCTTTTGGACCTCAACAATCATTAATTCATGACTCTGGAGATCTGGTCAGCACTCAATTAATTTCGAACAAGATTTGGTTGCTGAAATTTCAACATGACGTCATGCTTACACCCAATCTCAAGTGAACACGTGTCACTCGGGATTGAGTTTAAGTAGGAATTCCTGCTGAAATGTTCAACAGGGAAGTTAATTCCATTAATTTCCATGGTCTAATCCTATGTGCATGCAAGTATGTATAATGCTAGGGAGATTAAATTTTTTAAATCAAATTACAAATCAAATGATGTATCATCAATAAGAAATAAGCACGTTAATCGACACTTAATTAATAATTCAATCATCTGCAACCACATCGTTTAATTTACAAATTTGATTTAAAAAATTTGTTCTCCCTAATATTACTCTACAACTTCAAGTATATATATTTTTGAGAAGTTTTGTATTCGTCCAAATAAACCACAAAGTTATTCTCCACGCTCAACATGTAAATTTGGATATGGCCTTTGGAAATTGGGTTAATTATGAAATTTCCTGCTGAACTTTAGGTGTTGTACCACTTTGGTCCTTGAAAAACAAATTTTGGTTCCGAGTTGATCCCTTAAATTCTTTAAAGTGTTTCTAATGATGACAACAATAGTGTTAGTTACAAAGCTAAGGAGACTCTCTCAGTACGACTCTTCTTAAACTCTTTGTCATCTTATGTTTTTTACATAATATTTTATAATATTGGTACGACAATTAACGTTAAACTATTAGGTGACTCTCTTAACTCTTGTCATCTTTTACATATTATATGGTACGACATATTAATATAGGTGACTGAGAGTCTATAAAAAGTCCGACTTTGAAAGACTCTCCTTAGCATTTCTGTTAAAGAATTATTGTAATTACGGTTTACATGCAACAACGTACTGGCGCCGTTGCCTTTACGAACACTACTACTTTTATAAGTGTTGCATTAATTTCATCAATAAATATGTTATAATATGGGAATCCTATGGAGTATGGGAGCTTCTATTCTTCCTCCCATCATGTTCCATATACACACACACACAAACACATAGTACGCTCATTTCCATGATGTTTGTTGTAGCTCCAACTCCAATACTCATTAACCACTCCACTCTCTCTGCTCTGCTCTAAATTAATTTGCATGGCGACCTAGATGCATGCAAAGTGAACACTCTTATGGCGCGTTTTGTGCTCGTCCCTCTTTGGATATATTTCTGAATTTAGCATAATCAAATATACTCGTCATTAGCATTACAGTCTAATGATATATGCCGTATATATTTTTCTTCACTTATAAGTGATCAAAAATCTAAAGTTTGACTAAATGAATAATGCATTTATTATCTAATTATTATTGCTTACTTTTGTTTGTCTTAGTCTTACTCTTCTTAAGTAAAAATATCGTTGTATAAACAAATTAATAAAAACTTAACTTCAAAAAACGAATAGGGTTACGTGTCATGATACATCTGAGATTCTGAATGTCAAACAGAGCTGTACTCCAATGACAAGCATGCAGTCAAAATATGGTTTTGCATATGAAAACTTGGAAAGGGACAGGAGCAACATGATTTTCTCTTCGCCATATGTATCTGCCGTATCTTTGGTTTCCAATCATATTGAAGAATCTAAATTTTGTGCAAAATTCAGGGACATAAAAAAGGTGTAACACTAACACTTGATCTCATCTCATCTTATATATTTGTGATGCATGGAGCAAAAACTGATACAGTGGAGCAAATCTTCAATTGACCAAGTTACTACAATCAATCGAGTTGTAAGCTTAAGATACAGATAATGTATACATCTTGGTATAGGCTGTTTCAACCTTTGCTCGGCGGATTAAACCTCAGCGGATGCAGCGTTCTTTGTGATCGTGCGATTTGGGGATGCACCGTAGTTATCTCCAAGAACAAGGTTCGCATGGTCTCCATTGTTTCACACTGTCTGTCAATGGACCTGTTACTGCAGCAGACCATGAAGTCACCTCTGGCAAAGGTCCCGTAAGTGCAAGATAATTTTCACCAAAAGTTTGTGGCATTTTCTTCCAGCTAACCTGTTCAAACATCAAACTCTGAGTTTTCTTCTTTATAAGAGGCATTAACCTATTAAATGAAACAAAAATATGATTTGCTCAGAGCAGAACGAAGACAATGAGAACCATGTACGGCTTGGAGAGTGCATGCACAGAAAAGCCAAGAAGCGCAAATTAACGATTAACAAATTGGCACCCAAAATTCTCATAAACATTTGCAGAATTGAGTGTAAGGAAGAAGCTGAAGTTGATCATATACATTGTGTAAATACTAGCTTGTTTTCTCTGTTTCATGTTTAGATATTTAGCAGTAGAGGACACTTCGGATGTTCAGTTGAAAGTACCTGTTCTAGTTAAGTGTTACTCAAAACTTAATTCCTTAAACCAAGGAAATGACCAACCACAACGAGATTCAAACACAAGCACTAATCAGACAGATAATCAGAGCTTCATTACCAAGCTAAGTAACCGTTGACTAAAAAATGCATTTAAATTTGATCTCAAAGTTAACCGAACAACACAAGCTCAATCGTTATTATAATTTATAACAACACGACACACTAACAAGTTCATTGAGCTTTGTGCTTATGCACACATGCAAATACGGAGACAGGTGCATGAACACCAAACTTGTTAGTTCCAGCCATGATTGCAAATAACAGTTGAAAACTTTGAAAGAAGGTGCTTGAGAACTAAATTAGGATTGCAGCCATTCTAGTTTCACTGAACAGAAAAACATGCCCATTATATTTTCAGACTTCAAAATTTTCAATAGACAAGAAAAATAGCTCATCTTTCTCAAAGGCATTTGCATTGTAACAGTAGTTTTGTATGCTCATGTTATAATTAGTATCTAAAATTCGTACTTTCAGTTTGTAAATATGGTAAAATAAATAATTTAGTGCAATAATGATAAGTAATTAGATGTTGCAATCTGGAAATACTTAATCAAAAGATTATCAACCTAAAAAGCCCTACTTGTCCAGGGAATGCTTTAGATAATGCCTTGATAGTAGAATTTTGTAGCCAACTTTCATCGGTGGATATATGTTTTGGATGAGCTGCTTCCTTTCTGACATCAGATGCTTCATCTATGCCGCCACAATTCACCATTAGGCGGCCATTCGGCATCAATTTATTCTTTATTTCCAACCAAGTTGTAACCTTTCATATAAAATACAAAACAAACATAACTTAAAACACAAGATAACGTGTGATGTGGTCATAATGGATGACAACGAAAATATCAAGGCATATAGGCAGTTGGATACAACATAGCTTACTGTGGAAGAAAGAACAGCTGTACGAATAATAGCCAAAATATAATTAGCAACAATGAAGGTACATAGTAGTCATTCCTAGCAAACTTATTAGGTAGAATAAATTCTAGGATCTATATTCTTACTTACCAAGCTCCTACCTTAACATGTAACTTGAACGTACATAACAGCTGAACATTTTGTTGGTTTCAATCTTCATTAGCTGTATTAAACCCTAAAGTCAAACTTCTGCAAAACGTCCTTAACTGTGTGAGCCTGTTGATTTTTGTAAAATTTACAATTTAATTGATCTTAAAACTTTGATGCCTTGTAACTGAGCTTTCAACTAATTTTGATCCTAAATTAAACAACATTTAACATCACTTTCCTATGGGTCCTTCAAGGCTTCCCTTTTCAACCTCATATCCATGTTTACAAGGGTTGTTTTCTCTGGCCATGTCAAAGCAGTATTCTGAATGACATTTGAGGCTGGCGAAGTCAAGGTAGTATTCTGAATGCCATTTGAGGATTTCTTCTGCACATTCAAGATGACTAGGAGACTCTTTTGAGTCTAAATCCATAGGTGTTTCTCTCTCCTTATTTCCTTGCTCCTCCCATTATTCCTTGATTAAATAACTGCATTCTCTGCATAAATTCTCATTGAAATTTCACTACACCCTTTCAAAAACTACTTCTAGGTCTTTCTAACGAAACTCAGAATAAGGTTGTTCAAGTGGATAGGCATTCTCTATATGTTTCCAGAATCCAGATAGCTATGCATAAAAAGTGGGCTTGACAACAAGATGATTGATAAGATAGCATTCTTCATACCTCTTGCAACTGTGACAAAACATTTCCATCAGAAAACAAGTCAACGACAATGCCTGATATTTACTGCAAGAACAAGTTAGTAATACACTAGGGACGGAACTGTAGGGAATTGCAAAAAATGAGGCATAAACAATGTATGTACTTGGGAAGTATGCATGAGTACAAAAATTACAAAATAACCCTTGAATCTGTGCACAACATCCAAGAAACAGAAGAATGTGCTCCAGGTAATACAATGAGCCATGTAGACAAGGATCTCACCAGCATATCCTCCAGGAATATTAACTGAAGGAGAAAGGGCATCGCCAATATGAATGTTAAGTATGCCACCAGCTTGAGTATGCTTCTCAAGATAAGACAGCCCAAGATATTCTCTTGCTTTATCAATCAACTAAAATTTTTAAAATATTGAGTAAGGAAGCATTCACAATGAACAGATCCTAGCATATAGCAAATGCAAATATGATTTTACCAAGATTAAACATATGGAAAAACTGAAAATTATAACCATGACGAATCCTACATATTAGTTTAATCATGCTAATCACACGTCCAAGTACATATTCAGTAACAATGCTCCATAGCGACTTTAGCTGTCAGAGCTAAACAGATGAGATAGTACAACTTCGGAAGGTAACATTTTCAAGAAATTATTGCAGACCAAGCAATTTTTTTTAAGTGATATTTTTCTTGTCAGTGACCTTTACACTGTTAATCTAAATGTTGTTGACCTTGTGTTCATGACTTCTTGAGTAGTTTGGCATATTTTGCAGCTATTTGAGATAAGAATTATATCCATAACTTATCAAGTTTCAAAAGGAATCTCCTTACAGCTAAATAATTTTCAGCACATGATACTCTGTTTCTGTATTTCTTCCAGAAAGAATTTGTTATGATTACTGTTCTTATAAGGTGCCGCTAAAGGCTAAGACCTTAGATCTCAATGCCACTTGTTTAGTTTTCCATGAATATATGATTTTCAAGCACCAGTTAGGGAACAAGGGTGAACAATGAACTGCCTTACATGTTCTCTCCTAAACAATGGACAGAAAACTGTCCATCAGCAGGCCCACACCTTCAACATGATTTCATTCCGGTGTACACGATTTGAAGATTGCCACGACCTAGTCTTATGATTCCCATGACCCATAATTACGCTAAAAATGCCATACAAGAGAATATAAGACCAACACTAAAGCATCTTGGCATTGCTGTAATAGAATTGCAGCCACCGGACAAATTACATCAAAACTGAAATAAAGATGAAGCACATAGAACTGCTTAGTAGTAGAGATGTCTTGGTAGATAATGCTTTAAACCGAAGGGAAGCGATTTTGAATCCTTTGGTCAATAGTCCCAATGTGTTCTTTAAGTTACCATGCCCACATGATATTAATTCAATGTCATGAATAAGCTTTCATTTATAATGTGTAGTTCATGTGGTGCAATTATAAAAGATAGTTCAAACCTATGAAGTCAAGTCAAATACTTTTCAAAACACTCACAATTTGATCAATTTCCCAACCTTCAAGCTGCAATGACGGCCACAAGTCGAGCATCAAATGAGCAGCTGTTCCACCACCCTGACTTGAACAATTCAACAACACTTGTAGTCAGGAAATCACTAGTTACAATACAAAAGCTATTTCACAAGATACCCAACATTTGTTCAAACTGAAATGAATTACCAAACCAAGGATGGCAATAGGACCTTTCGGAACAATAGCAGGCAAGCTAGCAAACTCATCCTGCACAATGCAACACAAATACAAAGACTTTCTTTCACATATTCGAGCGATACTCTAATCAAATCTAAACTACGTGAAGGAAGATTCGAACTTGGGTGCATAAACACATTTAAATACACCTACCCAGTAGGAAGCAGTCCACTTCTGGTCCTTGCAAACAATGCTATGCACATTATCTGCACGAACCCAAAACAAAAACAACATAAAAATGCAGAACAAAATAATGGGTACTAATTGGATTGAGGAAAAATATGTAAAGAAACACATACGAGAAGAATCGAGGAGCAGCATTCTCGATTTCGGAGTGTCGACGATCACAATGTCGTTGAAACCGCTTTTCATGGCCGTCAGTACCCGAAATTCTTCTTCTTCTTCTTCCTCCTCCTCATTTTTCTCTTCCAATTTGACTTCTTGGTTATCTGCGTTGGAGGCTTTGGTCTTGACTTTTCGGTTCCCATGACAGAACCGAAGCGAAACGGAGGATGTTGCTCTGCAGCGATGTGAATAGTTGAGATAACTCGTAGCAGCGGAGTGAGTTCGACTCAGACCGAGTTGTTGCGCGGGTAGGACTAGCAGGCTATTTATTAACAGAGCCATTGCTGTCTTCAATCTTCCAGCCCCAGCAGCTTCACTTCGCTGTTTCTTTATCTGTTTGTCTATTGGGGTTTTGGTATTTTTAATGGATGTGGTCACTCAGAAAACTGCAGGGCCACCTGCCGAACTGGTGTAAGGAAATTGTTCGGCTGTATACCACCGAACAGACTTTTATTTAGATTATTTTTCTATGTTCGGCAGGGGGCAACCGAGGATATATCAATTATTCGGGTGCTGGTTTGCTGAACATTTCAGCGAACCCAGAACTAAAATGTGGCAAGCAGTTGGATTGAGCACTTAAAACATTTAGTTTCATTCTGGTATGTCATTTAGTGAATAAATTCAAGCAACTTAACACCATTGTAATTTTAACATGCTTTTTTTGGAGTTAGGACCATGCGTTTTTTTTTTTTTTGGACATATGTTTTTTTATTATTAAATGACGTATTGTTGATAACATATCAATAATATAACGTACTAATATGTTATCGATATATTATCTTATGAAATCCGTGATCTATGAAAGTACGAACATCGAGTACAAAACAATCCAAAGGTATTATCTTCTGATTTAGGTTGTTGCAAGCCATGGTTGATTACAAAACGCACTGATCCAGAGAAAATAGTAGGCAATGGGAGTGCTAACTTGGGCAGAACATCTAACCCTATGGAGTTCGAGAAATTTTTAGAATTACCTGACATTTGTGTCAGGTGGTGTTCCCACTAGTTGGAATTTGACACTTAGATATTCTTTTCTTTCATTTTAATCAACTAAAAATTGGTGTTAAGTGGGGAATATCACCTGACACAAGTGACGAGAACACTTAATAATTTTATGTGTGCAATAAGGATGGCAATTCTAATCAAACCTGACAATCATGGATAATTGTTTGAATAGATTGGATTTGGGTATAAAAATTCGAGTATATTTTGGGTATGGGGAAAAACCGTGAATATTATTCGGTTATGGTTTTGGATATGATTATACGGGTTCCCAATCCATATCCATACCCGAATTCGAACCGAATAATATATAATATAATTGTATATAATATTAAGGTATTATATAATATATGTATATGTATATGTATATGTATATGTGTGTATATATATATATATATTCATTATTCACCGAATCCATTACCTTGAGAATACAAAAATTGTATTGTGTGAGTTGCATTTTATGGCAAAGTTCAATAGTTTTGATATGAATCAAAATCTATGAGAATTTAATGGTATTTATGTGCAATATCAAAGATCAACCAACACTATCAATGTTTAGCTTTAATTTTGATGCTCCACAAGATCCATTAATTAAATCATTTTATTATTTTATACATCAAATATTTAATGACGAATTAATATTTACTAAATTATCATGTGTCAACTGGGAGAATATATTTTTTGTACTAACGAAGATGAATATAACCGTTAACCGATGTGAAATCCGTTATTTGGTGGGTATGGTTATGAATAATACCAAATGGTTAATTTACAATTATACATATGATTAATTTTCGTGATTATAAGGATAGGTATAACATTTCCGTTCTTAAACCGATCTATTGCCATCCAACTGTGCAATGCATATATATAAATATATTTATTACTGCATTAAAATCAAGACACAAAGGATAGAGAGCTGCATGGAGGGGGAAGGGGAAGAAGGGGCGACCCCTGCACAGCATATATTCAAGGCTAAATCAGATAAATGATTTCTGTGGTCATAAGATATTCAGAAGATAGTTCATGTGTTAAAAAATTCGGATTTAAAACTCTATCGTGTACTCCATTAACAAATTTAGTTCAAAATAATTTTTTCATTAACTATCTGTTAATACATGGATAAAATTCTACTTTGACATCCCACCCAAAAAACTACCTCCTCCTCCTCGCTCCCTCCTCTCAAAAGGAATTTCCCGGCATCGATTTCTTCGTGGCGCCCCAATCATCAACCTTATCTGCCCTCGAAGGTTCATCTCGATTCGATTCCTTCCCAAACCCAGCTTCCTTCCTCTGACCCCACTTCGAATCCGTCGACTCGTCACCGTTGGAATACCGGCTGTTTCCCTGATCGCTCTCATAAGTCTTGAACCCGCGGCCGAGCCGATTCCGATCAAGCTTCTCGGCGATTCGCTCGAGTCAATCAAGATTCAAGGAGCACCTTCAAAGCTTCCCCGACAAGCTTTGTGTTGCTTTGGCGCCCCTAAAACGCTTTTTAAAATACCAATTCCCTCCACCTTCTTCCCCATTGTTTCTGCTGTTTCTCCTTCTGCGTCTTCGCGTCAGTAGACGTCGTCGTCTTCGTCGGCGCGGAGCTACAATCAGCAGAGCAATGGAGCAGCAGAACAATCAGAAGACTGCCCAACTACAAGACGAACTCGAAGAAATGCGGCATGGCCCTGTCCCTGTCGAACAACTTCAGGTGAACCTATTTTGACTCCACACTCATTTTGAGCAAGTCAGTGGGTTCCCCATGCGGGTTCTTCTTCAATCTGCTTCGGATGGGGTTTTCTTGTTTAAATTCTTTGTTCCCTTCGAAATTTAAGAAATGGGTTTTCATTTTCTATGAAATTAGGTTCGAATTTCTGTGAATTGTTGTTAAAGATTCTATATTTCATATGGGTTTTGCGATTTACTGTAAATTATTGTTGGGTTTTGTTCTTTACCCACTAAGAGAAAACCTAGCCAGCAACAGACCTGGTTTTGGCCACCAATTTCATATGGGTTTGGTCATTTTGGTTATTTACAGATTGGTTGTTCCTAGCTTGGAAGAAATTGAGAATCTGGATTGTGTACTTTCACTTTGTAATGATAAATTTTGATCAAAGCAGCAATCTTTTTGCTGATGAAAAGTTTTAATGTTTTTGTATCAAGGTGTATTTATCATAAATGATAACTCAAATAGCAGTTAGAATAATTAAATGAAATCATCAGTAAAACAAGCCAAAGAGCTCCAATCAAAATCCTATGAGAGTTTCTTTAGAATTCAAAGGTTTTAGTCAAATTACCCCTACCAAGTTGGGGGAATTAGAACCCATGGAAGAGGCGTGGCTACTGTTAGTATTTTAAGATATTTCCATGGTGTTGAAGCTTACTTTCCGGTAGTCAAGTTAGTCTTTCTTGGTGACAACCAAATAGTATGGGAACTTCCAAGTATTTTTGTTGTAGTGTAATTTGGTTTTAAAGTTTTGGAGCATATAAGTTTATTCAAGCACATTTTCTGTTATAATTGATAGTTTTTTTTAAAATGGACATTTTTGAAATTGAGGGATAAGTTTTGACTATATATATGATAAAATCTCGTGTCTGGCGTAGCTTGCATTGACGAGGAAGAAGAAGGCACACGTCAAAGTACAATTTTACCCATGTATTAACAGATAGTTAACGGAAAAATCACTTTTGAACTAAATTTGATTACGGAGTATACTACAGGGGTTTAAATCAGAGTTTTTTTAGCACATGGCTATCTTTCAAGGGATCATTTATCCGATTTGGCCTATATATATTTATTACCGCATTAAAATCAAGACAAAAACAAAGGATAGGGAGCTGCATTGGGGGGGGGAGGAGGAAGAAGGGGCGACCCCCTGCTCATCATATATATAATATATTTATTACCGCATTAAAATCAAGACAAAAACAAAGCATAGGGAGCTGCATTGTGGGGGGGTGGGGGGCGGGGGGGGTGGTTGGCGGCGGGGAAGAGGGTGGGGTGGTGGGTGAGGGAGGGAGGGGGAGGAAGGGGCGACCCCCTGCATACATAGATTTTGACAAGCTGAAGCCTGTTTTCCAAAAAACATCACAGGATTCAGCAGCTCTCTCCTCCATTCTTTCTAAAGTTTGTCTTTGGATGGCTATATATATCTAACCATGTCCCAAAAGACTGTACAAACCAACACTATCATAATATTATATATCACCTAAAGTCCCCTGTTAATTAGCAATAATAATCATCCCCTAAACCACACCGCAAACAAAAGATTATCTCCTACTAATTATAATATATATAGAGGCATCAACTGCCTTCACAAGTGCATTCCTTTGAAAATGCTGTATTCACCGTCTTGTGCTCGATTGGCAAACTTCGTTACAGCTCCGTTTTGGTATGCTTTTGTTGCTCCTTTTGGGACATTCCTCCCGCATGCTGCTGGGAACACATGATTGCTTGCTGCATTTGGAACAGTGGTCCTTTGGGGCAACATGTCATTGCTTGCTCCATTTGGGACAATATTCCTTTGGGACACATGTCATTGGCAGCTACATTTGGGACGTTTCTTTTGCTTTCGGAGCCCGGAAAGAGATTGTCCAACTGCCCACATGCTGCAGCTATAAGCCCTGCATGATATTACAAAATCGATGGTTATTTACAAGCTTTTGTGTTACTTCTGCAATCTGACTGCACAGGTCATGAGTAGAGAAGAGTTTTGAATTCGGGTTCTCAAAAACAGCATGAAGCAAGATTCGAATGATCAAACTGCTAAAGTAAGATTTGAGAGATCAAACTGCGGCAATGAGGTACACAACCTAAAGGCCCATCTTCTAGCTCAAATATGTGACAACACTTTTAGCTGTAAATTGGATCAGGCTGGTCAACTTCAGAATTTTTCACCTTATCATGTTGAGAGTGTGAATCCCACATTGAGGAACTAAAGTCTCGTATAGTGATTTAAATGATCTTGGGCGTCTCCACCTATAGATTCTTAAAGGAACAATTGAACTATATTGCAAATTAGTTAAGCTTGGCCTAATTTTTAGAGGAACAATATGGAGCACTCTTTGTTTCAAGCTATGTACCAACTTACGAACTACTATGAATAATCAGTTTTGGTTTATCTCTATCTATTTTTAGAATCTGAAGTGTAGAGATTGGATCCAACGGTTGGAAGGTTAGCGATGATCACAACTTTCAACTATAAACCAGTAGTACGCGCGGTGTAAGTCTCAGGTTTATGTAACGTAGTATAACTGAAACACAAAGCTGAGTGTACAAATTTAAGGATAAATGAAGCATGTACCTAAGAACAGAGCAGAAGGTTTTCCTGGTCTTGATTTAAATTCAGGATGGAACTGGACACCGATGAAATATGGATGATTACGCAGCTCAACAATCTGTAATGTCGATATACCAAATGT